GCTCAGGCTGGTTCCTGTGCAGTGCAGATCGACAACCTCACCATCCCCGCCGAGGCCTCGCACCTCCTCGTCAAAGGATACGACCAGGACGGTGAGAGCACGACTGGCTCATCCCTTGTGGTGGAAGATGCATCCCTGCCCACGCAGACAGCTGCAGGAATGTACTTCCAGGACCGCGATCCTGTAGCTGGCCAGGTGGCTGGGACCATCGTGCTCGAGCCAGCAGAGGACCCGAGCCAAATCTCCCACTACGTCATCTACTGGGGCACCTCCACTGGCAAGCTCGGAGAGCCTCTTGCACAGATTGCAGCAAACGCGACTGGCAGCTCCTCCCGAGGTTCCTGTGGTCAAAAGGGGCCGGACAGTACCCCTCTGCGCTTCACTCGAAATGGCATCAACGGACCGAAGATCGTGAATGGACAGGATGCGAGTGAATGTGAGTGGGGCTGGCAGGTGAGCCTGCGCACAGCCAGTGGCTTCCACTTCTGCGGAGGCACTTTGATCTCCTCAAGGTGGGTGATGTCAGCAGCTCACTGTGTTGATGGAGGCGGCAGCATGGTGGTCGTGACGGGAGATTTCAACAAGGACTCCGACCAGGATCAACACGAGCGAACCTATCAAGTCCAGCAAGTCATATCGCATCCGGACTACAACTCGAACACTATGACCCACGACTTCGCTCTCATTGAATTGACCGAAGAGGTTGAGATGGGATGCGCAACAACGGCATGCCTGCCCGACGTCGAGGTGCCGGTGGGTCAGGAGTGCTTCATCACCGGCTGGGGCACTTTGGCGAGCGGGGGGTCTTCACCGTCGATCATTCAAGAGGGCATGGTTCTCGCCCTCAGCAACCAGCAGTGCAATTCTGCCTATGCTGGCCAAATCCTCGATGACATGCTCTGTGCCCAGGGCACCTCAGATCAAGGAATCGTGGATGCATGCCAAGGTGACAGCGGCGGCCCCCTTGTTTGCCCGACTGCAGATGGCACTGTGGCTGCATTCTTTTCTTTGCCTCTTCTACTCCCACTCCCTGAGCCGACGAGGACTTCTACTCCTCCCTGTGGCATTGTACTGCTCCTACCCGACTTTTACCCTGACTCTAAATCCACTCCTGCTGCTGCAACTTCTACTCCCACTACTCTTGCTCTTTCTACCTCGACTAATACGACGACGAGGACCACTACGAAGTATCACTACTATCGCCTACTGCGACGACTACTACTAAAAGAATACGGCGGCGACGACGACGACGACTGCGCCCACCACGACAACAATGATGGTTGCGGCAGTTGCTTCATGATATTTTATGACTGTTCGTCACAGAAAGCTATAAACTGTCAAACTGTTTAACTGCATGTATCAGTACAAGAATGGCTTCAAGCAAATACGAGCACGGCACAATGAGATTGCGCGAGCACATATGCCATCCCTTATATAGTGACGTGCCAAGATTCCCGGCAGAGCAACCCACTCTTCAGTGATGTGTACGGGTGACACCACCGATTCTTTCCGAGGCAGATATGTGCTGCACGGCGCAACATCTTGGGGCTATGGTTGTGCTGATTCTGCCTATCCCGGGATCTGGGCACGCATCACGTGGATCCTTCCCTGGATCGAAAGCCACACAGGTGAGACTTGCTCTGTTTGCTATTTTGCGATCTGTTTCTGCGAAGGTCCAGCGAGGTAGACTCACGTAGAAAGCCGTGTGACTGAAGAAGGGTCCTTGCTTCCTTTGACCAGGCTTGACGCCTCAGACCGGTGGCGATGGCAATCTGACCTACAACATCACTGGAGAGGCCATCCCGGCAACTGCAACGCATCTTCTGGTTTTCACATCCATGCATGGCGCTGAGATGACGACCGGGATTAGCATTCCAGTGGTTGACTTTGCTCCATCTTCTACTGCGCCTACGTCCCTCGCGTTTACCGACACGGACCCCTCGCCGGGAGAGCTGGGAGGCACAATCATCCTTGGCCGAGCTTCGGATGAGTCGGAGATCACCCACTACGCCGTCTACTGGGGTTCCTCAGATCAGAATGTCCTGGAGCTCTTCGCGCAGGTGCCCAAGGGTACCGGAAGCCTCGAGATCCCGGTGCCCGCGAACACCCCGCTGCCGACGGGTGCAACGACCTTCCTGGCCTTCGTGGTGGGACCTTCCGGTCAGGGCTACAACAGCGTGGCGACTTCCATTCAGGACTTGGACCAGTCCAGGGCCCCCGGAGGCCTCAGCTTCCAGGACACCGATCAGGGAGTTGGGACCGTGGGTGGCACTGTGACGATCCAGAGGGCGGCCAGTCAGACGGGAGTTACGGGCTACAACCTCTACTGGAGCACAGGCTCTTGCGCCACGCTGGGTGGCCAGATTGCAAGCGTGACGGTGGAGCGGAGTGGCATCGCCCCCTACTGCTTCACGGGGGATGCATGCAGCGACATCAGCATTTTGCAGGAGGATGTGGGAGTCTACGTGGTTTCCCGTGGCATGAGTGGGTACCGCAACGATGAGCGGGCGAGCCTCTACTTGGAAGGCCCGGGCACCATTCGCTTTTCTCGTTTCGGGACGGAAGGCGGCTATGACACACTTACCATCGATGGAGTGGCGTTTTCCGGCAGCAGCGTGCCAGCGGATTTTCAGCTTGGGGCAGGGCAGAAGCAGGTGGATTGGTTCTCGGACTTCAGTGTGACTGGAAGTGGCTGGGTCTTCCAGTACGAGTCGCAGGGGAGCTTTGGTGACGTGAGCTACCAGCTGCCTTCTGGCACCTTCCTGCCAAGCTCCGCCACGGAGATGATGGTGTTCTCGGTGAATGAGGGCTCAGAGTATCGGGAAGCCTGCGCTGCTACAGCTGTGTCAGACTTTGCACCGCCTGTTCAGGTACCGCAGGCCCTGTGGTTCCAAGACCAAGACCAGGCTAGTGGAACTGTCGGAGGAGATCTTATCATCTTGCAGGCCCGTGACCACAGTGGCCTGGAGTCTTATCACGTCTATTGGGGTGCCAACTCCACCCATCGACTGCCAAACGTGGCCATGGTCGCGGCTGTGACGGCCACATCTCCTTCAACAAATCTCACAGTCACCATGGCGACCGGAACCTCCTTGCCCGTGAACGCCAGCTACCTCCTGGTTTTTGCTTCTTCTGCAAGCGGAGAATCAAGCCGGGGGCCCAGGGCTCATTGACAGCGAACCGTTGTAGCCTTCAGCCCCAGACCCAGCGTCCTTTCTAGGCCCAAACCTCCGAAGCCCCAGCCGAGGCACGCCCGCGAGTGTGGCCGTGTTCGACTATGAACCAGCCCAAGACGCGGCGACGTCCATCACCTTTGTGGATGTCGATGCAGGGGAAGGGCTCGTGGCTGGAACACTCTTCATCGGGCGGGCCAGTGATGAATCCTCCGTGGACTTCTACAATGTCTACTTCTCCCTCGGTAGCCAGAAGCTTGACCTCATTGGGTCGGTGCCCGCACCGACGCTTGCAGCAGGGCACTCAGCATCTTCCAGCCGGAGTTGGTAAACAGGCCGTTCACGGTAAGAGTGGAAGTATATGTGCTAGAAAGAGGGGCAGGTGAGATTCTCTTAGGCTAGTCAGTGGGTGAGCGGGGAATGATTTGTTGATTGATTGAGTGCATGGGTGAGCGAGCTAGTGAGTGCGTGCATGGGTTGGTGGGCGAGTGAGTGAGAGCGTGTGTAGTTTTGTGTGGGTGGGTCGGTGGGTGGGCGTGGGTGGGTGGATGGGGCAATCATCAAAGAAAGTTTTGTATGTCAGTGAGAAGGGTTAGCAACGTAGCAGAGCGCACGAACTTGTAACTCTACTCTGAATACGGCACCCTAGTTTTGACAGCCACCCGCATGTGGGCCGAGGCCAGACCAAGCTGCAGCGGCGCCAGCTGTAGCGAGATTGACATCCGGTCCGTGGCTGGCGGCATCGCCTACGAGGTCTTCGACGGCTTGGGGTGCGGGTTTCTGGCATTTACGGGGCTTTCGAAAAGAGGCGTTTTGCTTTCGGGTTTCACATTAGGTTCGGCTGTGGGCTGCGAGGTCTCTCGTGGCACCTCCTATGGCAATAACGAGGTGGCCAGCATCGCAGTCACAGGACCCGGCATGGTGAAGTTTACCTTCTTCACCACGGAGGCAGGCTACGACTTCCTGACCATTCTGGGGACTGCCTACTCTGGAAGCAGCATGCCCGGGGATATCGAAATCCCTGCAGGGACCCACGAGATTGTCTGGCGATCGGATGGCTCCGTAACTACCGGAGGATGGATCTTCCGACTGGAGTCTGGTGCAAGTGCTATCTTGAGCGTGGAGGTGCCCCAAGGCACATCTATTCCCCGGACTGCAGACAGTTTGCTGGTCCTTACGGCATCAGAAGGCGGAGAGATGGCAACAGGAATTACAACCGCGCTTGTTGATTACAACCCCCCCACCATCGTCCCCGTGTCTGTCCAGTGTGAGGACATTGACCCCAGCATCGGCGTGTACACTGGCTTCTGCAACGTCCGCAGAGCTGAGGTGGAAGTTGGAGTAGTGAGCTATGACATCTACTGGGGAATGAATGCATCGCACCCCATGCCGGGATCCCCTGTGCTTGGCCGGGCATTCTTGAACGCTTCGGCCACGGCCCTGGTCACGGCACAAGTTCCCAGCACTCCGATCCATTCCTCCGCCTCGCATTTGGTGGCTTTAGCCGCAGGCCCGGGCGGTGTGGCACCCCGGGGCGTGGGGACTCCGGTGCTCGACAACTCCGGCTTGTCCCTGAACCCCTCCAGCCTCAACGTGGTGACGACACCAGGTTCCACGACATCAAACGTGATCACCGTCACCAGCTCGGCTGCCGAGGACATCACCTTGCAGGCTCCCCACATGTTTTTTTCTTTTTTGTCCGATCTTTTGACCTACACACATTGCACAGCTTGCACAGCTTGCATAGCTGTAGCTCTTGCGAAGCCTTGTGTCCTGGAGACCTTCTTCCTGCGGCGTTGCAGGTGGGCATCGTCTTCGAGGACGATTCGGCACAGGGCGCTCTCCCCGAAGCTATCGCCCCAAGCGCGGCCTCCTCGGGAGTCGCGGGTGCCAGCCACAGCCTGCCTTCCGTCTGCCAGGGATCAGATGTGCCTCTGCAGGGCAAGAAGCGCCTGCTCTTCAGGACCAAGGCCAAGCAGCTGGATGCCAAGACAAGGCGTTTGCATGCCAGGGGCGTCGAGGCCAAGCATGGAGTGAAAATCCAGGCATTCGAGCGCCTGGGTGGTGTGGCCTTTGCTGAGATGAAGAATGCAACGGCGAGGCAGTTCTGCCAGATGTTCCTTGATCTCGACAATGATCCGGTGGTCGAGTATGTCGAAGAAGACCTCATGTGGCTTCCGCTTGGCAACAAGCTCCAGGTGGAGGACATGCTCTTCCCTCCACCAAGACCGCAACCTGAACCCAAGCTTCAAGGGCGCATGCACCGCCGCCCGGGCGTCTGTAGCAGTAGCACCTGCGGCCGCACGGAAGGGCACCCAAACGATGTGGACTTTGATGAGCTGTGGGGCTTACATCAGGATACCAGGTGGCACTCTATGAAGCTTTGTAATCCTATTCACAGATACATGTTATAGATACTGTCCGGGGGCTCTAAAACTCACATGCAACCCAGGACAGCGATGTGGACATCGATGCCCCAGAGGCTTGGGCTATCCACCAGGGTACCCATGGGAAGGTGATCATGGCCGTCCTTGACACAGGCACGTCCCTGCGACACAGCCTGTGCAATATAGGGGCCTTAATACGTAGAATAGGGTTTTGGGGTATCTTATAGTGGAGTCATAGTGAGGAACCCCAAATAGCTTAGGCTCCTGTATGAGGGTCAGCCACGCAAGTTGCGATCACAGAGGCTTCGAGGCAAACGGGGGCTCGGCTACTTGCAAAGTTGTAGAGAGCAGCTGCGCATGACAGCGGTGCCTTGCAGTATACCTTACAGCTTGTGTCACCGCTTTGTGCAGCGTTCGCATCCAGCATTCTACACCCACCACAGCATGCGATCGTGTTTCCCAAGCTTTCGGTGATGGGAACAAGTACAGCTGCTGCTGCAGCCATGTTTCCACAAAATATTTGGCTGCGACTCACCATTGTACCTTTTTGTTTGGCAGTTGCTTGAATGGCAGGCGTGGACTACAACCACGAGGACCTCCGCAATCAGATGTGGGTGAATTCTGGCGAGATTCCCGGTGACGGCATCGACAACGACGGCAATGGGTACGTGGATGACGTGTATGGCTACGATTTCCATAACAACAACGGAGATCCCATGGACTCCAACGGGCATGGAACTCACTGTGCAGGCACAATCGGTGCAGAGGCTGGAAACTCTATTGGCGTTGCTGGTGTCTCCTGGAAGCCCCAGATCATGGCATTGAAGTTCCTCGGAGCAAGTGGCGGCAGCACAGCTGATGCGATCCGTGCCTTGGACTACGCCGTGATGATGGGCGCCCAGATTAGCTCGAACTCCTGGGGCGGTGGAGGCTACTCCCAGGCACTGGTCGACGCCATCGATGCAGCTGCCGAGGCCAACCACCTCTTCATCGTTGCAGCGGGCAACGACGGGAGGGACAACGAGAATACCCCAACCTACCCGTGCAATTACAATCGACCGAACATGATCTGCGTTGCCTCTTCAGACAGTGCGAACGACATCTCGTCTTTCTCCAACTGGGGTACAACGGTCGTGCACATTGCCGCCCCCGGTTCCCGAATCTACAGCACATACCCCAACAACCAGTACGAGTTCCTGTCAGGCACATCCATGGCAACACCCCATGTGTCTGGTGTTGCCGCCTTGGTGCTGGACTACGTGGACACACTGACCTATGCCGAGCTTCGGAACCTGATCTTGACGTCTGCTGTTAGGTATGCCAAGTTCGATTCTCGGGTGTCCACGGGTGCTCTGCTGAATGCCCATGCTGCTCTCCAGATGGCTGGGCAGTTTGCCTGGGCCCGTGTGACAGGCCCCGCCGCGTCTGGAAGCATCACTGTGCCGGCTGGAGGTTCTGCCGAGATCACCCTGGAGCTGGGCAACGACAGGATGGAGGAAGGAGAGTACCGGGTGGCTTTGAGAATTTGGAAGCAAGTCAACGATATTCTTTACTCACGCCTGGTACCGGTTGTTTTTACTCTGCATCGCTTCGGGTCCGCACCGACAGTCGGTGCTGGAGGCATAGAGTTCCAAGACACAGATGCCCGACGGGACGTCATCGCAGGGGCCCTTACGATTACCAGGGCGACTCCTGCGCAGGAAGAGACCTTTTCCCAGTACCACATCTTCTGGGCGGACGCATCGCAGACTAGGACCAGCGAGACGCCACTTGCAACTTTGGACACCGGGAATGTCCTTCAGGACAACTTTGCCTTCTTCGACAACTCCTTCTGGTTTCCTCCAGACTCGGATGTGGCAGGGGCAAGCTGGTCGGTGTCCAGCGGTGCAGCCATCTTCTCCGGGCAGTTCGATACCTCTCACCTCACCATGGCACGTCGTTTTGCACCGCCCTTCACTATGAAGGCCAAGGTGCGAAAGACGGCTGGTGCCCTGGCCCACATGGTGATCCAGGTGGGTGGGGACTCCGTCAGCCTCTTTGGTTCAGGCGGACTCCGTGCCATGTTCCTGGGGTCTCAGAAGATTTTGGTGTCGCCAGATGGGCAGCACTACTCAGTGCCCTGCACCTTGGGCACCTGGTTCGAGGTGACGATCACGGTTCTGGCAACTTCGGTCACCTTTGCCGACAACCAGGGGTGCCAGGAGATCATGCAGAGCATCCCAAGCTCGGACGAGACGAGAAGCATCCGCATCGGTGCGGACTGCGCTGGTGAATGTGCTGGCAGTGTTTGGGACAGTTTCGAAGTCAGCGGTGGCTTATACGCGACCTTCAACGTCCCTTCCTCCACCAGCATCCCTGCCAATGCCGCCGGCTTCATCGTGCACGCCTGGAACGTACTGGGCTTACAAGCCACCGGCCTCTACATGCCGCTGTCCGATCACCGAGTTGCCATCCGGGCTGCGCAGCCCAGTCAAGTGACCGCGGGATCTGCCACGACATCAAGCCTTGTCCTGTCATGGGCTCGTGGTGCCCTGAACGACTGCAGCGGGGGCTTCGAAAGGTACGAGGTCATGATCCAGGGCGCAAACGGCGGATGGTCTGAGCCGACGGGTTGCTCTATGCTGGTGAACGTGAATGTGGAAAGTTGCACGGCCACCCAGCTTTCCAGTGACATGGCTTATCAGTTCAGAGTTCGACTACTCTGCATCTTGGAGGAGACACAGAGCCTTTGGAGTGAGATCTCGGAAACCGCCATGACGCTTCCACTAGCAGCTGCAGCTCCCACGCCCCTCCGACGCAGAACGGGAACAGTTTTTGGGATGCGGCCGGGATGCGGTTGTTATGAGCTGCCTTCTTTGAACTGCCTGGCCCGTCCGAACCAAGCGGATACTTGAGAATGCCACTCTCCCACTGCCCTGGGCCTGTTCTCTTCTTGCTTTGCTTGTAGGCCGGAGCAGTGGGTCGGCTCAGAACAACCGGTTTAGGTTTAGGGTTTAGGGTTTAGGGTTTAGGGTTTAGGGTTTAGGGTTTAGGGTTCAACCATCTCTTAAGATCCGGGTGGTGGATCGAAGGTTGGACTAACAACTGTAGGGGAAGCCTCGAGAGCCCAGGGCGGTTCGCGCGCGCTTGCCGAGCTCCACCGCGTCCGGAGCCCAGCTCTCCACTTTTGACCTTTTGACCTTTTCTTTTCAGAGAGGGTCTCAGAGTGCTTGGAGGCTGGAAGGCACCGGAAGAATCCCTTCTCTGAGTGTAATTCTGTTGAAAGCTGTTGTTTTGCTAGTTCTTCCGATTCTGTGTCAGGCTTCTGGTGTCCTGGGAGACGGGGCTGTTGAACGACTGCGAGTTCGAGGAGGCCGTGGTGGAGGGTCAGACAAGCGGAGCCTGGTTCCAGCCAGAGGGCTGCACGGGGCTGACGAACTTGAACTCCTACCACTGCACAGCAGAGGGCCTGACCCCCGGCGCGGAGTACGTCTTCCGAGTCTGGACCAACTGTGCGGATCGGATGTCCTCGAGCCCCTACAGCGCTCCGAGCCTGCCCATCTCCACGCTGGTCGCCGCGCAGACCTGGGAGACTTCGCAAAGGCGAGTTCTCTCCGTGAGCATGAGCACACAAATCGACTACAACGAGGTGCAGGGAAACCCCGAGTTGCAGAGTTCCTTGGTCTCCAACATCATCGAGGCCACGGCGAGCCGGATGAACGTGGACCCTTCAAGAGTCCGAGTCGAGGTCTTAGCAGGAAGTGCCCTCGAAAACGGAGGCCGCAGGCTCTCAGCTCTTTCCACCGTCTTCTCCGTGGTGGTGGATGGAGTCTCGGAGGCCACCTCAGCTGAGCAAGTCTCTGAGAATGTGGCAGCAGAAGTTTCTACGGTGGTGCAAGCCGAGACCGGCACAGCCAGCGAGGTGCAGGTGTCGAGTGTCAATAGTCTCGTTGCAGCAATTCCCCCAGAGCGCATTACCTGGACGATGCTTGGGCCTGACCGTGTTCAGCTTCATTGGAACGCAAGACCACTGAACGACTGCTCCTTCCTCGCATGGCAGGTTCATGCCCGATCCGGGGATGTTGAGCTAACGCCGCCCGGCTGCTCAGGTCTCGTGAACCTTTCAGCCACCTCCTGTATCGCCAGCGGCTTTGCCACGGGCGCTGCATACACCTTCTCCGTCTCGCTCCTCTGTGCAGATCCGGCTGTGAGCAGTGAAGCTTCGGAGGCCAGTACGCCCTGGGTTGTGGGCTCCGTGCCGACGCTGATCTCGGCGGAGTTCACCGCAGGCTTTACCACATTGCTGCTGACTTTCGATGTGGTGGTGACAGAGCTTCTGACTCCAAGCACCTGCGGCAGCGCCTTCAGCGAAGGCCTCAGCCAGAAGTTCGGCAGCGACTTCGGATGCAACGTGGCCGGGTCTCAGTTGGCGGTGACTTTAGGACAGGGAGCCACCTTGGTCCTTGGGGATGCCATTAGCTTGCAGATGGCGGCTGGCCTCGTAGACGTCACATCAGATCTGCCGGTGGTGGAGGTCTCCGGCTTTATTTCTGCCTCCCCTCCGGTGGTCCTGCCATGTGTGCCGGTGACCCTCCTCCTGCAGGCCACCGGCTCCGCGGGACGGGCGCTTCAGATCGAGTGGTTGACGAGTTCCCAGTCTTCGGAGCTCATCTCGGTGCTGGCGGCCGCCACCGCCACCTCCTCCACAAGTGCCGAGCTGTCACCCTCCGTCCTTGCGAGCTTGACACAGCCCAGCCTTGACAGGATTGACATCGGCGCCGCGGTTCGTGTCACGAACTGGCTGGGTCACAGCATGATGATGAACACATCAGTCAGGGTGCTCAACGATGGCCAGGCAACCGCCAGCATCATGGCAGTCGGCCCAAGTGCGCTCACCCGCACCCTGGACCAGGAAGTAGAGCTTGAAGTAGCAACGGGCATTGTGGCCCCCTGCAACCAGTCGGAGGAGGCCACGGGCACGCCCATCACCACTTGGCACTATCGAGCAAGCTCCAATCCCTCATGGAGTACCCTGGCCGAAGCGGGTCTCGTCGACGAGTCCCCGCTGCCAAACAGGGTGCGCGTGGCGGCCTTCGTGCTTCCACCGGGGGACCACGAGTTCCGTGCCTCCGCGAGCCTGCCACAGACGGAGGCACAGGAAGTGGTCTTTCACATCACTGTGACCAACATCCCTCCACCGAGCCTCGAGGTGACAGGGCCCCGAAGCTTTGGACTCGGATGCGACCTCCGCCTGGGCACTTCCTGGAGCGGTCTGGTACACCCAAGGGCCACCATCGTCTACGAATGGACGTGCCTCCAATCCGACTGCTCCAGCATCTCGAACTTCGCTTCCCAAACCGATGATGGCAGGTCAGGGGAAGCCATCGAGCTGAGTGGAAGCGAGCTGGCCATGGGCAGCTACAGCTTCGGCCGGCACCCCAGAGACTTGTGGTGGTACAAGTAGCACCTTCTGCAAACTCTGAACTTGAACCCTACCCTGAACCCCATAACCCGAATCCACAGCCCTGAACCCTAAACCCACCCTGAACCCCAGAACCCCGAATGCCAGAGCCTTCATTGCAAGTTACTCGAGGTGTGACCATGACGCAAGTCATCCCCGGCCAGACTTCGATCAGCAGCTCTGCCGAGGTGGCCTGGAGGGCTCTTGAGCGAAGGTTTTGATGGGCTTGAGGGGTTTAGGGTTTAGGGCTTTAGGGGTTTATAGGGTTTAGGGCTTTATAGGGTTTAGGGGTTTAGGGTTTAGGGGTTTAGGGTTTAGGGGTTTAGGGGTTTAGGGTTTAAGGTTTGGTCTGGGGTTTTGGGAGCTTAGGTGCAGATAAACGCTTGCAGCTCATCTTGTCCGACTTGTCAGTGTAAAACACGATCGTCGTTTGCAATGGGTTCTGGGTACGTTGATAGACAAGATGTGTGCATGCCTCATGTCGGCTGCCCGTTGTAGGCTACCCATCCAACTCGGAGAGTTTAGGCTTAGGCTTTCGGGTTTGCGGGATGGTTTAGGGTCAGAGCTTGCGGTGATTTGGTTAGAATTGGATTACGAGGGTCTCGATAGCTGTTACACCGATACCATCGTGAGAATTCATCACCACAGCATTAGTACTGTTGTTCCTAGCATCAGTGCTGGATTGTTAAAATGTGAGTGTCATGGCTTTTGTGGCCCTTCTTCCTCACCTTGGCAGTTACATCACTGCCTTAACTGGAGCACCATTCCCATGATTGTGGTCATCGTTGGCATCGTCGTCGGTGCCGGAGTCGTGGTCGTGACGGTGGTTCTGGTTTTGGTCGCGGTTACTGTTGAGGTTGTGGTTGTGGTTGTTTTTGTGGTTGTGGTATTGGTTGTCTTTCTGGTTATGGTTGTTCTTGTGGTTATGGTTGTTGTTGTGGTTATGGTTGTGTGGTTGTGGTAGTGGTTACTGTGGTGGCTGTTGTCTTTGTCAACATGTTAATTACAGGTTTGCAGATGCTTTGAAGAGTGTGGGGCCCGTCTCAACCTTTCAACTCTGAGAGTCCAGCGCCCGCTGGGTTACCGCGGTAGCATGCTGTAGGAGGCAGCACAGCAGCGATACGTTTACTGTTGTCGTATCTATCACCTAAGAGAATTACCAGCAAGCTCAATTGTAAATGGTCGTAAGACGATCAGTAGCATCATTGCCACTAGCATACCTAACATTGTAAGAGGGACCCTAAACCCTAAACCCTAAACCCTACACCCTAAACCCTACACCCTACACCCTAAACCCTACACCCTAAACCCTAAACCCTAACCCCGAAACCGCTTGTTACCAGGTGACCGTCACCGTGCAAGCCGGTGGGCCTCTTCCGGTGCAGATCGCCACCCCCTGGAGCCGCATGGATCGCATTTCCCTACAGGCGGCCCTGGCTTTGGGTCGGTTTAGGGTTTAGGGTTTAGGGTTTAGGGTTTAGGGTTTAGGGTTTAGGGTTTAGGGTTTAGGGTTTAGGGCTTAGGGTTTGGGTCGTATTTCCCAGAGAACCCAATACCCCTTAACTAAGGAATATACCTTAAACCACATTGGGTTCTCTGGGTATTTCTTTTCTTTTCAAAGGCGTGGGGGGTGATCTCCCTGCAGGAAGCGGACAGCGTTGAGTGCTCCTGCTCCAGTTGAGTTTCAACATCAGACTGGCCTAAATATAGGGCCCGAAATAATTACCAATACTAGGTATTCTGGAGCTCCGTATTTTACTACAGTGCACTAATACCCCGAAGCCCTGTTCTGACCATCCAGGGCCTATTCATTATCTTTAAACCCTAAACCCTAAACCCTAAACCCTAAACCCTAAACCGATGGTTTACACTCCGGAGCCCCAAAGAGCCTATCCCTGAACGATGGAATAAAGCACTACATGGACTCTGAAAAAACCCTCTGAATT